TCAGATTAGATCATATTCATCAGGTAGCCTGGTTTTATTTCATTCTTGAGCCCCCTTTGAGTCAAATTTGAACCTTAAGTAATCAGCTCCTTTTCACTACTCATTTCTCTAAGATGAATTTCTCTTTTTCTGATTTTATGATTGATTTGACAAAGAATGATTAATTAGAATTAACAACCCTAATTCTCTGTGGTTTATAACATGTTTTCTTTGATTAACTCATCCTGCTTTTCAAAACAAGACTGAGAAGATATGTCTGGTTTGTTTCTTCCAAATACTCATGTTTCCTCCTCTCAGTTCTTTATGCAATATGGCTCTGTTTTGCTCATTGTTCCTCAACCACAGTTTGTCCTCTGGTAATTAGTCTACTTAAACCCAGGCTAGTTACTAGTGAATAAAAAACTTATCGGTTCTTCACACTCTTTTCTCCGTGAAACTTTCCCAAAAAGACCCTTACTTTTTGTGCCATTTTCTCAAATTCTCTTGTGAAGCTTGTCAGAAGCTCAAAAAATCAACAATCTGCACTGCATAAAACAACTCGTTGGACAAGCCAGTCTGACGAGTTTTTGGACAGACTTTTTCCGACAAGTTCAGCAGCCCAGTGGTGGCACACAACAGGACTTGTCGGGCAATGTCAGTCCAAGCACTCATCGGACTGGCTTGTCCAATGAGTGAATTTGTGCAGTGCTGGGCCAACCAATTCAGACTGGTCATTCTGGCCCCTTCACAGACGTGAACTTTTAAAAGCATCCAAACCAAATTAGGACTCTATGCAAATTCCTGTGCACCCCATTTGACCAATGGAGCCTGCAAACCACTCCACAATCACACCCTGCGGGGGGTGTCCATCCAATCCCCTCTAGGGGGATGAATGGACATGCATGCCACATACAATATTGATAAAATGATATTCATTTGAAGAGGAGATGATTTAACAAAGTGGTGTTGATGTACAAATGGTCAACCAATTTTAACCCACAATCTGAGAAGGTATAAGAATAACCTGTCTCAAAACAATTGAGTAAATGCTTCCCTTCCTAATTATAAATGTTCAGATGCTCTTGTTCCAAATATCAGACAGAAAAATCCTGATGAACATCAATTTCCAATTTGGAAATTGAAATGTATGTTTAAATTCACTTTATAAAGATCAACACCTGGATTTGAAGTACTACCAACATACACTGAAACAAACATGCAAGCAACTGCTACCAGTTGAAATTCTTTAAGATCTGATCAAACCTCAATGGAAACATAGTTCATTATGTTTATGTAATTTGGTGGCATAACCCTGAGGTATCAAAGAGGTGGAACAGAACAATGTAGAATGATAGACTTTGACTCAAGTTAAGTTTGGATCATGGTTTGAGTTCTTGGATGTAATGTTCTATTAGCCTGATGAGTTATTTTGAAGACTATAATGACTACCAATTTTGGGCCTGTATACTAGAATACACTCACTTTCAGTGGAAAAAAGGGCTAAAAATCACTGTAATTCAGTGTAGCTGGTGGTTTTTTGAGGCCTGTATGTGCAGTGTTAGTGCAGAGCCAGTAGGTTTCTGATATTAGAGGTTATGTGTTAGCAGAACTCTTCTACAATAATCTACCCTAACACTACTGTTAGCATAGCTGGACCAGCACTTTGACTAAGTTTCAAATCTACTACTCAAGGCTGAATGAATACAGGGAGTGATAAATCAAGTAATGTCTTGCAACTGAATAGATGCTAAAATAATGATTGAATGCAAAAAATACAAATGGAAGACAAGGTTTTGAGCAATGAGTTGACAGAGGATTAACCACTGGCACTGACAGCAAACCCAAAGAGGTTGTATTCCCCCTATTCAATTTCAATTTGAATGGGGCCAATCCAGCCTATTCAATCCATTTTCAACAAGGCTGAATTGATCATATCATATCCTCATTCAAATAGTTCAAACTCAACCTCTTTAAACCCCTTTGAACTAGGTTGAGCTTAAGATATTCAAAGGAGGATCAAATAGGATGAATCAAACCTAGTTATATTGGGATTGAATGGGTTTAATTAAAACTTTTCAAAGGAGGATTGATTAGGTTGAATTCAGCCTATTCAAAGTGGGGTTAGGTAGGTTGACTTCAACCAATTAGGCTTTATTGCAGTGTGGAGACATTGCTGAAACTCTGATAGATCAAAATTAAAAAGAATAAACTTTCAAGCACAACTTAACTACTGAACAGTGGTACATGGTGCCTCACTTGTCAGAACTGAATCATGTATGCATGCAATTTTATCAAATATCTTACTTCAATGAAAGCTGAAAATGACACCATGATTGTAATGTATGGCTAAGTACTGTTGGAATTTCAATTGCTTTTTTTTTTTTTTTTACCTAATTCAAA